CCCTCTACTCGTTTTGTTGCTGTTGTCTTTTTTGCAATGAATTAATTTTCTATATAATAAAATATATCTAAAGAAGTCTGAAACATTAATTTTATTGCCTTTCTACTTACTTGTTCCCACTGTACAGACAGATAGTTGGTGGATTCAAATTGGGTTCCAGTTTGCACACTTGCTCTGAGATAGCCATACCAATGCCCGATACATTAGGATTAATTTGACCTTTTGCTAACGGTGAATATGACGTATAATGAGTTTCGCTTTACTCCAAACACTTTCAAAAAATTACTTACCTCCCAGACAGAGGCCTTGACGATTGGCTAGCAACACACCCACTGTCTCCGGCTGTGACACACTGTGTAGAAATGAATATAGTAAAATCAAAACAATTATTTTAAACATATTTAAATCGCACTTACAATTCATTAAGTGCTTTCTCCAATTGCTGCTCCATGTTTTATTAGAGCTACTATATAGTTTTTATAAAATTTATGTCCTGAGAAAATCGTAAACAAATTGAAGATTTCCAAACAGCTGTTTCAATTTGCAAATGTCATCTCGTACTAGTTAGAGAACAAAAAGATTTATCGGTAATAATCGGTTTATCGATAAGCAGTAATCATCGATAAGAAATATCATAAATGTGCCGTTATATAGCTTTGTAGACTATATTAACGGTGTTTTATTAAAAATTCCAATATACTGCTAGGTTTCATTGCGGCGATGCGATCCCTATTTGGAAATATGGATCCAATGGCCTACATATTGCGTCTACCGACAATTAGCAGGTGTCCTGTCCGCCTGGGCGTCCACCAGTATATACCTAAGTATGTGCACAAGGTGAGGTTAGGTTAAGCTGGTAGGGAATAAGCCACGCATTGACCAGTTTTGGGCCTTTGCGAAGGCACATGGGGTTCAATTCCTAGGTCCGAGGCAAGAAGTCATCCTTTAGGATCGGAACCGCCGATTCGAACCATTAAAGCATATAACTGCCGCTCTCATGGCAGTTGGGTAACCGGAACGGACCCGGATTTTTTATGCAGCCAAGCACCGTCAACTCGGTACCATGTTCAAACCCCAAAGGAATGGTTTACATCGAACCACTATAACTGATCAAGCAAAATGAAGTCCTGTTATGTTAGTAAGAGCTTCTTAAAACTTGTTAAATCCCCATTTTAGCCTAACTAATAAGAAATACAACTTAATTTCATAACCTAAATATTTATTTATGAATATATGTATCTGTATTTTAAACCCTTGCAATCAATGCATACATATGTATATTATATTTTTGTATATGTTTGGCCAACAAAAAATCATTTTTTAAAGTTATAAATCAGATATATATATAAAATTATGTAGTAATATAAGATTGGAATTACAATATACTGTTAGTTTACAGACTATTAACAAGAAATACCGAGATTATACCATTTGAATGTTTACATTTTTCAATGGCAAAGATAGCCAGCTTATTTATTCCTCAACGCAACAACGCAACGAACATGTAAATGTTTGAGACAGTGAAAACAAACAGTATAGTACAGTAGTAAAATGGTACGAATTCATGTAATATGATCATCAGTAACTACGGTTACACGCAGTTTACAATTCTTAATGTGGAAAGTGTAAGTGATATAATATATACGGCTAACTCTTAAACAATTTCATATTTTTCAACAAAAAGCATCGTTTCGGTAGAATATTTTACTGCGCTATCGTCATCAACAAGAAGCACGTCCGTGGCGCTTAGAGCAGCATATGGCGTTTTCGATACAAAGTTAACCTAAAAACAAATGCATTATTGGTGTGGGTGTCGTTAAAACTAACTCGTCTGGTAATATAATATACCTGTAGTGGAAAGAAATCGCCTGAAATAGATGAATTGCAGCTGAACTCCATCGAGCCAGATGTATTGTTTCTGTCGATAATGGGTATATTCCACTGGAGTACATGCTTTCGTGCATCATAATTGTATGTACCATCATATTCAGCGACAGACGGCTGCACATTCATGCTGTTTATAAAAATATTAAACTTAATACATAAATAAGTATATAATTAAAACATCACTTACGGCAATGGTATGGAGATGGTTACATCTTGTAATTCTAAATGTTGCGCTTCTAATTCGTACTCGATGTTTACATCACAACCCCCCTCACCGTTTTCAGACGGCCAGCAATTAACTGTAATTAATTAAGATATATATTTACACGTACACAATATGAGCACATACGAAAAACAATATTTACTTGTCAACGGTATGGCAGCTTCATCCTGTGTAATAAAACGCCATTTCAATACACCGACATCTGTGTTTAATGGGAATGGTTTAGCTGGGTTTTTCAGCCCGATTAATGAGCGCGTCTTAAACAGCTCCTTATCCACATTAGGATGTGTTTGTAACTGTATGCCATGGGTATCATTATTACGTAATTGCACCTTAATACGTCCGAAATTTTCATCCGAAATACGGAGTGTGAGTAAACCTGACAGCTCGAACTGTTGCAAGCCACCATCTCGACCCAAACGCACAGTAAGCTTATCTTCCATCTTAAGGTGTACGCTATATACATGAAAAACAAAAAATATGTATATTATTAAAGAATAAAAAGAAAGAAAATATTATAAAAAGTTACCTTTCAGTGTGCACATCCGAAGCAATTTTAGTCTTGGCGACAGCCGCGCTGCTTTGGCTATTTACAGGTGTCAAAGCGGAAATCTTCTCACCCTCGCTCTTTAGTTGATCAACGAAACTGTCTACATCTTTCGTTTTGCCACCCAATTTCAAAGCGTTACGTGCAACTGGTTTCCTATTAAACAATTAAATATTTTTAAAAACAAATTATTATTATTYTTTTAATACTGCGACTTACTGTGCCTTGGTTACGGCTGGTTTCAAATCGGACTCAATTGATGGTGCACTGCTTATCGAATTGGAACTTATGCCAAAAGCATCCATGCCACTGCTGCTACTTCCATGACCACCTCGTCCGATTAGCGAAGAACTAACACCGCGTTTTGCCGCCTCCAAGCGTTGACGCTGCAACTCTTTAGCTTTTTCACGCATTTTTTGATGTGCCTCACGTTCTTGCGTTTGCCGAACTGCTTGATAAACCTTCTCTTCGTGTGAATCCATTTCAATAAATGTTTTGATCTGCTTCAAATTAACGCTCTCGCGATAACCAAGTGCGACAATTTCATCAAAAGCAAATATCAAATTGAAGGCATTCTCAAGAATTTCCTTTTCATCCAAACTGTGGCAATACTCAGGAATCTGTTACGAATTGTTTATATTAAAATTAAGCATGATAACGACATGAAGAGAGAACCTACCACTTTGGAGAATAAGCGCAGTGTCTCCAGATCTTCCAAAATATTACTTGCTTTTGTTGTGATCAACAACATATAAAGCTTTTCCATTGGCTGATACACATAACGCACTGACTCTGTTTCCACGTATGTATGTTGCTTGCCTGATGTCATAAGCTTTGGAAAAGCAGCAAGCAAGCCCTCAATTCGCGCTTTAGTCATCTCGACAAACTGTCGTGATATAATCACTGTTTATAGAAAATAGGACTTTAAGTTATTGGCAGATATATAGTATACAATGTAACTATTTTATAAAGGTAGATGTATGTATGTGGATGCGTACCTTTGCCATTTTTTGTACACACTGCCGCAGCTATCAAAACCTGCAAATATGACAAACGGAAAAATGTATTTTTAATGTATATCACAAACTAATGGTGTAATTACTTTACACTTACCATTTTGTTAAATTTGTTTAAACGATTTAGAACACTTTAATAGAGTCACAACAATAATTAAGACAATTTTTTACAAGATTTTGTCGAAATTCTCTCCCTCAGTAGCTGACGTGTTAGATTAATGTACAATGAGAATGTCAAATTTTCAACGATTAGTAGGGATCGATACTTTGTTACCGATAACAAACAAAAACCAATTTCAATACTTAAAAGACAAAAACTATTATTTTCAAAATTAATTCAAAGCTAAAGTTGTGCTAAACCTAATGGATTTTCCAATAGTTACGTCTGCATTATCTTTATTTTAAGTTTTCCCACAAAATTTTAAAAGAATTGTAAAATCAAATTATTCATTCTAAAATAACCGGTTCTCTTTCGATTGCAAATGTTAAATGATAGCCAAATAAGGGATAAACCTCCAATTGCCAATTTAACAACTACTAATTATACAACACTGTTTTCTCTTGACAGTTGTAAATTTGATTTGGCGCAATTGCAAAAAGAAAGAAAACAATTCGCACGAAAATTTTAGCAATTCCTATTTAAAGAAAAATATTTTCTTCACTCATGAGTTTTGACGATACAATAAATGCATATTTCGTTACTACCGGAACTGTGGAAGAGCGCAGCTCCTCAAAATGTGCTGATTTGGAAACGGCATTTTCCCATCTTCGCGAGCATATAGCTGAAGAAAACATAAGGCATATAAATGCCAGCGATGGGTTTCCACTTATTGCTTCAGGGCAACTTACAAAGAAGGATGTGTTCATTTTCGACCAGTTTGAAGGCGATTTTTTCAAGCAACTTCAATTAACGAAATCACTTATAATAGGACCGCGATGTCTTATAACTTGCCTGATAAGCTCGCAACCAGTGCCCCTTGGCCCTAGTCCAATTTATACAACGGCAATGCGTGATTTACACATTTGTGCTACAGGTATACCGGCAGATCAAAAGGAACGTGTGCGCACATACATTCAATGGATGGGTGGTTATTATTTTCAAAATCTAAGTCGTCCAGTTACACATCTTATATCAAATACAATTAAGTCCACAAAATACGAACATGCCACATTAAACGGCATACCAGTGATGCATGTTGACTGGGTGCAACGAGTTTGGGAACGAAGTTCGGTTGACAATGTGGCCGCAACTGACGAAGAATTTGACAAGTATAAGTTACCGATATTCTTTGGTACAAACATCACTTGCACGGGATTGGAAACTGATAAGAAAAATGAGGTAAATATCGAAAGTAATATTTTTCTGTTGACTAGATAATAAATGGACGAAAAATTGCAGATAATGCGCCTTGTAAATGAGAATGGTGGCACTTATCATTCTGCATTTCGCTCAGCACTTGTTGATATAGTTATAACCGAGCGGGGAAACACCAATTCGGATAAGTATAAAGCCGCTGTGCGTTACAAAAAGGACATACTGTGCCCAGAGTGGATATTTGATAGTGCAGAAAAGGGTTTTGCCTTACCTACAAAAGGCTATCAAGTGAAGTCCTTAAAGGTTTCAACGCCAATCAAAGGCGATCGTACTATCGCAGATTTCACACAACTCTCTGACACATCGCGAATAAGCGTTATGGGTGGCTCAGGTCGTAGCGGGCGAAGTGAACTTACAACCGTTAATGACACAGTTAGTAGTGGCATTAACGAAACAGCAATACAACAAAAAGATGGCACATTTGTTGCACCAATACCCCGCGCCAGTACGTCTAAGGACTTACAAAGAGAAATACACCGAAAACAAGTTGCTACTG